CTAATATTCCTGCCTGACACTTCTCCAATATCCAGGTGACCTTGACTTTGAAATTCGGGATGGCCACAGGAGGATTATATGAATAGATGTACGATATTAATCACTGAAGTCTTAAGGTAGCAGCAGCAATCTGCTCCCATCTCATATTATTCTCCTTAGTGATGAATACAACCATCCCCAGAAGTCTAGTTTAAAGGGGTCTTGCATTACATGCTACTCTATTCCAAACTTAAAAATGGAAAACGTAATGCTGGTGGTCAACAAAAGAGGTTTAAAGACTGTCTCAAGGAAAATCTTTAAAAATGTAGTATAAACACTGACAACTGAGAAACACTGGCCTGTGAGTGCTCCAGTTGGAGAACAGCCTTTACCAAAGGTGTCATGGGCTTTGAAGACACTCAAACTCAGGACGAAAGGGAGAAATGTGCTAAGAGGAAAGCACGCTTGGCAAATCCACACCATGATCAACTCCCTATGTCCCCACTGTGGAAGGACATGTGGTTCCAGATTTGGCCTCCACAGTCACTTATGGATTCATTATTAAAACCGTGTTTATGGAAGACAATTTTACTTGGCTGTGAGTGATCGCCAAAGAAGAAAGATGTCTGCAAGACCCAAATAGTGTAAAGAATGCCAGAACATGTACTTTTTAAGGGGTAGGCAGGGCTTTCCCCCCCAGCTGAAATTCACCTCTCAGGTGGGCACCATTGCCATTATAAGAGAACAAGGGAGATGTTCATGGTGACTTCCGGTGCCTCCTTTTGCATGTTCAGACCCAGAAACCTGCCCCCTAAATAACTTCACACAAGACTCAAATTTTGGTTTTGGTTTTTGGCAGAATTTAGGCCACAACTTTATTCATTATAGCAAGTGAGTGGTTACATAGGCTCTGGTTCGACTAGCTCCCTGCCATGCAGGTAGCGCTGATCCAGGGTTCCAGGGATAGGTCAGCCAAAGGTGAACACCTGGATAAGCGGAAAGCCGGGAACGGACTAACTCTGCCACCCAAATGTTCCCCTGGACTCAGGCACGGGCACAACCCCCTCATAGGGGTTGACCAAACTATCAAGTCCCTGGATTCCTTTAATGGAATACCCTTTACATAGGGATGGCGAGAGCATTCTCCCATCCCTATCACCTGAACCAAAGCCTATATGCAACCTTACAAGTTGTGATGATTTGCTACCCGGCAGGTGAAACCCAAATGGCAACAGCCAATCAGCCAAGTGGGGGAAATTCCTGCCGTGCCCCTGTCCCAACGACAGACGACACACGACGGCATAGCAAGGTCAAGCACAACAAGCCCTAAAAGTAGGGAGAGGTGGGCGGGTGTTCCGATGCACACGCCGAAAGAGGAAGCTCTGGGTCATGTGCATGGGCATAAATAGGTCTCTCGAAATGTTTGGACTGCGTCTCATTGGCCAGATTGTACCCAGCTTCGAGGGACTTACCAATCAGGTGTTGTGGCTGTCCAAACGTTCCCACCCACAACACAGGGTGTTGGTTGTCCAGGTCTCACCGCAATACGTGCCCTCTTTAAGGGAGGACCCGATTTGCAGAAAAATAGCTTTGGGGGATCAGAGCAACCTGAACATTCAAGTACAGTGGTACATCGGGTTAAGCACTTAGTTCGTTCTGGAGGTCCGTTCTTAACCTGCAACTGTTCTTAAGCTGAAGCACCACTTTAGCTAATGGGGCCTCCTGCAGTTGCCGTGCCGCCGGAGCACGATTTCTGTTCTCATCCTGAAGCAAAGTTCTTAACCTTCTTACTATTTCTGGGTTAGCGGAGTCTGTAACCTAAAGCGTACGTAACCTGAAGTGTCTGTAACCCAAGGTACCACTGTATGGTGAATTTCTCCATTCAGTTCCTTTACTACAGGGGTGGGAAATCTGTGACACTCCCTCTCCTCGGATGCTGTTGAACTACAACTCCATCATTCCTGATAATTGGCCATGCTGACCAGGGCTGGAGGTTGGAGTCTAACACCACTGTGGTTTTTTTTTTATTGCTTTATTGCAGTTATGTCCAGATGTATGGCAGCCCTAGTTAATTCCCCCACCTTACATAGATAGATCCAATTGGTTTTAACGGAGTCACCATTGATTTATTTGGATTCAGGGAAGAGAAGAATCAATGCATTTCCCTCTCTTGCTGAAATGATGGATGAACCAAAACAGTTTAATGCTGTGTCTCAAGAATGCTTCTGGGATATTGAGCAAAAATGCGACAGAGGGATTTAACTTGCCCCTCTCCATGCGTTCAAGCACTTGCAGAGGCCTCTCTCTGCATGATGTAGAACACTGATCTTCCGGCATTGTACATCATGCAAAAACATCCATACATACAGCAGGCTTCGCTACTGCTGACGGTGATGCAAGAACTCAGAGAAAACAGGGACAGGCGAGCTAGACTGTCCCCTCCCTCATGTTCATTTTTTTAAAATGTGAAAATTCAACAGCATTTAAGAGCAAATTTCTTCTAATGCACACATTTTTTGGATGCAATTTTGCCATGATACACATATTTGTAAAGCAATTTCCCTCTAATTTAATGCAATTTTGTATGTTATTTTCAATGATATATGTATTTTTTTCCTGCACATTTTGCCCCAGTATGTGCATTTTTCTACACATGACTTGACTGAAGAACTGCATTACAAAATCTGAAGATGTGTGCATTTCAAAGCCTGGGTGGCATTCTAGCTTCGGAAAGATGAATGAAATAATTTTGCCTTTAAATGAATCAGATTTCTCCCCCATTGTTAGCCACATTGTGACTGGGAAAACAACGACAGCAACCTTCCTCCGCTCACATCAACTCATCTCTTAGCTCATGCATCGCTTTCTCATCAGTGCAAACTGGAGTTTCTCCACAGTTTCTCTCTGACATTGAAAAATGACAACATACAAGCAAAAAGAGAAATCAAGCACTGTAAGAAAAGGAACTTAGCTCCAACCTGACCTTCAATCAGCACTAAACAGAATAGGGTCCACGTGACAGTAGTCCAGCAATATTATTCCAGCTAATATCAGAATCAGGTCTTTCAGTGATGGTAAGCAAGGTAAGCCTTTCAGCAGGTAGGCCTCTCTGTAGTATCTCATACTTTCCAACTTTTTCTGACATAAAACTAGGACGCAACTCGCTCTCAACCAAAAAAAAAAAAGCACTTGGGGGTGTGTGCGAGATCTCCTGCAGCACTCAAATGGCTGCCACGATCGTGCATGAAAAAACAGGGTGTCCCATTTTTACCAAGGCACTTGACAAGTATGGTATTTTTCAAAGACCCCTGGAGAAGAAAGTCCTGCCAGCAATGACATGACAGTTTTTATTTATTTATTTTTGTTCACTTAGCAAGATTTATATGCAACTTAATAATAACTCTAAACCATTTACATGAAATGAAATAAACTGCATTGCAGCAGATGACCTTAGATGGCCCTCAGAATCCCTTCCAACTCTACAATTCTATGAATCTTTGATAAAAAAAATTGTGCTTCAAAATGGGCAAGAAAACCCCAATAGACATAAAATAAATTATCAAAATATAGACAGAACCCACTATCTATATTTAGCCAGATTTATATACCGCTTGATGTCTCTAAGCAGTTTACACAAAATAATATAAAATAGTCATTAAAAATTGGAATAAAACATGCTTTTTTAAAGTAAAAGCTTTTAAGCACTATAACTTTTTCTTGGAATAAATATTATCTTTGTCACCCCCAAGAAAAAGCAGCTGGAAAAACAATGAAAGTCTTTTAAAGGAAGAATATGATTTATGTCTAAATTGGAAACTTACAAAGAGGAACCAGTCAGGAATCATTTTGTCCTCTTGACGTCTGTGTCCTTTTCTAAAAGCCAGACCAGACAGGAAAAAACATTTGTCAGCCACAGTCTTATTCATTATTGAAGCCCCGTATTATTTCTTTGATCAGGCTGCTTAACCACCAGTCTACCAGGAAAGCTCCTTTTGCAACATACCTCTTGCAACATAACATTACGCTCAGAAATAGTTTTGAGCCACTGAAATATTTCACAGCTTGTTATATTGAAAAGAAACGAGTTTTCTCTGAGAACAGGGCTACATTCCATTCCCAGCCGTCTGACATGGATTTCTACGACTTGTCAAGCTCAACACTTTGAAAGTGCAAGTCAAACCTTCTTCCTCCCTTTCTTGGTACTTGCTTAAATAGACAGTCATGTGTTCTGTTTTATACTGGGAATGAGATCCCTATTTTCTGTAGGTAGGCTGCTTCTAAGATTTACTTGCTTTCATTCTGACGTTCCCCGTTGCAATCGAAGGGCCCCCTTCCTTTGCAAGAGAAAGAACCCAAAGCCCACTTTAAACCTAGCTGACTGTGACTGCTTTTAGGAACCAAAGAGATGAAGGCTTGTGCGAATCTCTTTATCTAGCCAGACACTCTAAACCACAATTGCGCAGGCTGGCAGCCCCACTTTGCCACAACCCTTTGCGGCGAAGCTTTCTTGTGAATTCTCTTGCTCAGAATAGTATTCTAAGTTAGGCAGGCTGATCTGTTTGGTCGCCATGGAGCCTACAGATCTATATTTAACTGCATCGTATTGTTATTTTCTCATAATTTTATATGTATCTTGCTTTTCTCTGCAAAAGGAAGCCCTTATCGATTCAAAAATGCAAAGTGCTCAAATGGAATAAGCTGTGCCAAACTCTACCTGTTCCTCAAGGGGAGAAAATTCAGAGAGGAGACCCAGGCTGGACCAGGCGGGGGGGGGGGTCTGTGTTTGGGTGCCAGCTTTGCATCCCCTCAAATATCAGAGCCTGGGGCAACAGCCCCTCTGGCACAACCCCCTCCGACGCTGTGCCCCGATCATTCATCCTCCACTCTCTGGTCTGTTCTCTTGCCCAAGAACATTGTTACCTTCCACAACACAATGAATTCTCCCCCATAAGAAAGGCTGAGAATGGTGGCAAGGAGGGCAGAGGAGCGAAGGAAAGGCTTATTGAATGAAGAGACTTATTTGTGTGTGTGTATGTGTGCACGCGCGCGTGATATATATATATATATATATATACACACACACACACACACACACACACACACTGTGATTTCATTAAAAAAATCAAAGGTGTTTACAATAATATTTCTATATACAGTGGGACCTCGGGTTAAGAACTTAATTCATTCTAGAGGTCCGTTCTTAACCTGAAACTGTTCTTAACCTGAGGTACCACTTTAGCTAATGGGGCCTCCCGCTGCCGCCGTGCAATTTTTGTTCTCATCCTGAAGCAAAATTCTTAACCCGAGGTACTATTTCTGGGTTAGCGGAGTCTGTAACCTGAAGCGTCTGTAACCTGAGGTACCGCTGTATTAAGAACACAATTACAATCAAAGACTATTGACAATTACGGAAAATGTAGTCTTAATTGCCTGTGGAACAGAGGAGTGTTCAGCAGGGCTCTTGGTGCAAGGAAAAATTAGGTACAAACGTATAATTCCCTGGATGCCACTATCCAAGTCTGGGGCAGGTACATTTTGGTGAGGGAACACAAGCAGAGATTGAAAATTACAAAACATTCAACAAAGTAAAGTGAGGAAATATAGGCCATTAAACCTTTAAAATATGTCTTCCTAAATTCCTTCCAAAGTCTCCCTCTTCCCCAGCGTAGAAAAAGACTACACATTTGGTAAGATAAAAACAGTTTACTTACAAATTCTCCAAAGGTCAGATTCCTGTGCTTTTCCACACAGCATTAATGAAAAAGTTGCACAGGCAGTAAAACTTGGCTTAGTTGCAAAGCGGTGAAAGTTTCTAAATTATTGGTATAGAAAGGAACTCAAGAGAGGCTGAGCTGGAGCAAACAGCTCAAAACCTCTTCACATACTGAAGAAGACTGGAGGGGAACAAAGGCTTGATTACCTAGTCCTTCCGAAGGTCACCTAAGCCTGGCAGAACAGCTTACTCTATGGTTTTAACCCCTTTGTGCATTAATTAGACTAAAGCATATTGGTTATGTGAGGCTGGTTATTCCACAGTTTTAAAGGCTTGAACAGAACGTGCCTGCTGTATCTATAGTCTTATTTTCCTTTTTTTCTTTTTGCCGTATCTATATTCCCCAGCTCTGGGCTGATGACGCTAAACACTCTATTTTGTCAAATGAGCCTTGCCAACTTAGTGGACAACCAATGACACTCCTGCAAATTAGCTAGGTGATCGGGCTGGAATATAAGAGTTTAGGCTTGGGAAAGTTGAGCAACTGGGCTGCTCTGTATTCAGCTTGAACTGTCAAAGAACCCAAGAAAGGCTGTGTGTGTGTGTTTTGCTAACATGGACAGTTGAGCAGCACAAATTATTTTTGGACCAAGCAAGTGGATATTCGGCTATCCCTGTAAAAAAGCACACAGGGAGTAGAAACTCTGTAACAGAGAGATAGCCAATACTTTGAAGCTCCCATTCTGATATAAGGCTTGCCAGAACAAGACTGCTGGAAATCTAGAATCGTGGAAAGTTCCATATAACAGACCACTGTGTTTTATTAAATTACAAAGTTTGCTTTAAAATGGGATAAAAAGTTGTCTGTGCACAAGATTATTTCTTTAATATGCTGCCCTCATGGACTAGAACCAATAAACGCAATGAATGTTGTTTTTCCTTGCTTTGTACTTTGAATTTTGCCAAAAGCTGTTTTATTCTTTATCTGTTTCCATGCAAATTGTGCCACACACATGGTCTCATTAATCAATACAATTACTCATACCAGTAAAGGTGACTCTGCTGCCTTAATATTAGTCTATTTATCCTTTTAAAAAGTAATAATGTACAGTATAGTGTGTGGTAAAATATTATGATAATTAGAAGTGAACTGTCAGGTATTAAATATAGCAAAAATTAAGGCTAAAATTCTGAAAACACTTAATAGGGAGTGACTCCACTCAAATGTACTTCCAGCAAAGTCAACAATGCAGAAGGAAAGAAAGAAAAGATGATAGGTCTTCCAGCTAAGAGATTTCTTTGGATGTTTGTGCAAGTAATTATTGCAACCAGGGCCATAGCTAGGGGGTGGTGAGGCGGGCCCCTGCCAGGGATGCAGGCGAGGCCACCCCCACAAAATCAGCTAAAAATATGCCCATAAATATGTCAATAATAATAATAATAATAATAATAATTTATTATTTGTACCCCGCCCATCTGGCTGGGCTTCCCCAGCCACTCTGGGCGGCTTCCAACAAAGATTAAAAATACATTAAAATGTCACACATTAAAAACTTCCCTGAACATTGATTATTGCCTCATAAGAAAAGGTTTTTAATAGTGGGTGAATTGAAGGGGGATGGGGTTGGAGGAGAGGCGGAAAGAAGAACTAATTTGTCCGTGGCTAGGGGGTGCAATCTGGGCAGTTCTGCCAGGGATGCAAGATCACCTAGCTATAGCTCTGATCTCAACCCATTAAAAAATTATCTGCTATATAATTGATCCTGCACCTGCTTTATCAAGTCAGGGGCAAAATGAGTCAGGCTTAGTATGATGGCCTGGGATTCGGACTCGGATGCTGAACCTGAGGGATCCCAGCCTGTACAGGAGTCCCCGCCTCCAGAACCAGCTGAGCCGGGGCTGGGGCCTGAGCCTGAAGGGTCCTCACCTGTGTTGGATCCTCAGGTGCAGGCATCAGCTGAGTCCGCTCTGGCTCCTGAGGTGATGGAGGACCCATTGCCTGCAGGTTCTCCACTCTCAGCCCCCTCAGAGGAGGCTGAGGTTGCCTCTGGGTCCGGTAACCCTCCAGCCTCTCCTGAGCTACAGAGGCTCAGGGCAGAGAGATGGAGGGAACTAAGTTCCTGCAGAAGGAGTGCCCACCTCCAGGCCAGGAGAGGCGAGTCACCTGAGGATCGGGGCTGCCCTATGCCTCGGGGCAGATAAAAGCCGGCCAGCCCCAGTCCCAAGTTGCAGGAGCAACATTGTTGGTTGCTAGTTCCTGTCTGAACCATGTCCTGCTTTCCTGCCTGAGCTCCTGACCCGCCCTGGCTCCCTGCTTGAAAGCCTGTTCCTGACTTCACCCGGCTCCCTGCCCTGCACCCAGCTTCAGCTACTATGGACTGCCTCCACATTACACCTTAGACCACAGACCTCACCTCTCGGGTAACCCATGGGACCAGCACACTTATTTGCTTTTTCATCCTGATCATACAAGCTATTGTCTAGGTCCTCCATCTGCGACTTAGCATGACACATGTGCCACATAGCAAAATTTGCCCTAATGCTGAGGATCGAAAAGCTGTAAGGAAAGGAAAGGCGTCAAGGTGATGCCTTGTAGCAGGGACATAGCACGGCATACAAAATGTTCAGAAATAAAACTTTGTCCCATTTTGCATAGTTGAAACATGCCCCGGTGGTATTAACCTTGATATTCGCAAAGCATACATATCAAAGTCACCTGTTTTGCCATCATGCTTTCAAGATTTTAGGCTGCAATCCAAACCCCTTGTCCATCACACTGGAGGTGTTCGGAGGGAGCGTGGTCTTTCTCTGACCAGCCCAAACAGCTCCATTGGCACCACTCCTCCAGCTGAGAGATCAGGATTCAGCCCATTGCAAGTGTTAGGTATGCAGAACTTTAGGCAAGTGGAGAAAGCCCTATAATGAGCCGGGTAGGTGCTAAGCTCGCCTGGAATGTACAACCATGGGGTGCGATTGCTGTGGCAGCAGTGTCTTGCCTGTCCCCCACCTTCAGCCCCAGCTGTAATTTACTTATCTCCTTGGCTTGGGGGTCACATAACTCCATACCCTAAAACATGGGTAGGCAGACTAAGGCCCGGGGGCCGGATGCGGCCCAATCGTCTTCTAAATCCAGCCCGTGGACAGTCCAGGAATCAGCGTGTTTTTACATGAGTAGAATGTGTCCTTTTATTTAAAATGCATCTCTGGGTTATTTGTGGGGCATAGGAATTCGTTCATTTTTTTCTTCAAAATATAGTCCGGCCCCCCACAAGGTCTGAGGGACAGTGGACCGGCCCCCTGCTGAAAACGTTTGCTGACCCCTACCCTAAAACATTTCACCAATGAAAACAGGGACGTCCTAAGGAAAAGCAGAACATTCCAGAATCAAGCCAGAAACTGGGACGGCTTCTGTAAATCTGGGACTGTCCCTGGAAAATAGGGACACCTGGAAAGTCTGTTAAACCCTGATACTCCAGAAACAGAATTTTTGCTCTCTTAGTTACTAGCTACCAGGGCCAGCTCATCCCTGAGCCAAGGTGAGGCAACCATCTCAGGTGGCAAGATCTACAGGGGCAGCAGATCTGGCCTCCAGGAAATGATGTAAATGTTTACCCTGATGTAAATCTTTATCCTGCCACCCACTTGGTTCCTGATGTAGATCTTCTCTCATCCCTTCTTCCCTTGCAGGTGGGGTTGGGGGTACCATTTTGTGGTTCCTGTCTTGGACTGGCCCTGTTAGCTATATAACTAAAATGAAGTCAACAAGCTTTGGGCTGCTGCTTCTTTTTAATGAATTTGTTTATTTGGTTTTTCAGATTAAAAATTTACAGTCACGCACCCAACATACAACATAGAAACAAGATTCCAAGGAATCTCCTGGACTTCCCTCCTCCCCTTTGTGGGTTCTATTGTGAATCATTTCCTCCTGCATCTTTTATGATAAACCAAATATTTTACCTCTCCATTGTGTCCCAAGTTCACCATTAAACTTCAAGTGTTGTTCCAATCCTACTAATGATTTTAACTGTTTACAATGGTTTTTTAAGATAAATTACAAATTTCCCTCATTCCTTATTAACATTTTGGTCTTCCTGATTTCTGATTCTTCCAGTCATTTTAACCATTTCCGGCATAATCCATCAACTTGATCTGCCATTCTTCTCTGATAGGAACTTTATCTTCTTTCCATCTCTGGGCCAATAACATTTGTGCAGCCGTGGTCGTTATGGAGTGCTTCTACTTCTCCATAGCTAGTTTGCTTTAAAGCAAGAACATTTTCTTGTGAACGACAGAATCTCTTTAGTGGTGCACGTTTCTATAGCACACACACACACACACTACTATCTCAATGAGCCTTTCAGCAGGTGCAGAACCCAGACAGACGAGAACTATTTACCTTCAACTGCCGAGTGTTTGGTCTGGATGGCAGCCATCAGATCCTTCGTCACTCGTTCCTCCATCTCACTGACTTCCTTGTAAGAATCAATCCATTTAGCAGCTGAGGCGAAACTCATTATTACACAATTATGGCCAAGATTCATAAAGGGACTTTATGAACCTTGCATTTACTAGGCTAAACTCATCCCCTCTTCCTCTCCTAACTGAATTCAACCAGAAAAGACTGTTGAAGAAGGACTCCATTCATCGGGGGTGGGAGTGGGGATGGAAGAGTTATCCACATCAGTTCGCATGAATTCTGCTATTTGTCTGTGTTGAGGTGGTGGCAAGAAGCTAGCCTGTATTTACAGAGGCCCAAAGCATCGTAGATGACTACTGAAAAATAGCCGGAGATAAATGATGAACGAGTTCTTACATTAAAGAGCACATTTGGGATGATAATCTAGTGGATCTTGATAGAACTGGGTAAAGCTGAAATAACTCTAAGCTGGTAAATGCTTTCTCCATCAGATGGTAGAAACAACTGGAAAATATTTTTTTTAAAAATATATCATTGGAAAGGCTGGGATTTGCATAGCCCAAGTGAAGTCTCTGGGCAGTAGTCAACTGAGTTTTACCAGGAGTAGTTCCTTTGAAATGAAAGAACCTAACTAAGTTATGTCCATTAATTTAAATGGGTCTATTCTGAGTAAAACTTAATTAAATGTCACTCTCTGTTAGCAAACTAGCAATCACCAAAGCATGCCAAACAAACACAAACTATTTTGACCATCAACTTGGTGGCAAATGCATTACTCAATAGCTCAGAACATTTCTCTGGCTTCATGTGAGAAGGGTCATATTTTTCTTGACATGCTAGTCATCTAACATCTTGTGCCAGTTGCTTCCTTTTAGCATGCTTGCAGCAAGTGAGTTTCTTCAAGGAATAGTGTGCACAGAGTTCCCCACAGATCGCACTTCTTTAAGGTGACAAAGTTTACAGCACAGCTCCTCTGAAAGCCACAGCACAAGATAGAAAAATGTTGTATCTCGAGCCATATTAAGACAGTGCATCAACACTACAAATAACTGGGCAATCATATATACTAATTCTGCAAGGGTGAAGGGAAATATACCAGTGGGATGAGGGAAGTCACACTTTCAAAAAGGAAATTTCATGTTCTAGTATATTATTGTGCACTCTTTCTTTTTTACACATCCAAGCATTAATAAAGCAGGAATTACTAGGCTAAACTAGGTGATGGTAGCCTTGGTGTGTCAGGGACTTCCCCCGCATGCAGGCCCCAGCAGATTATGCGGACAGGACCAAGACTAGGTCCAATGGTCAAGAAAGCAATTTCTGCGTGTGCTGTAGAGGAAAATGAAGGGCAGATGGGGCTCATCAACCTGGGAAGGTAGCCCATCTAGGAGAAAGGAAACTCTGATCCTAAACCTCTGCTTCCTTGAGGGATATCTTCAGGAGAAGAAAAGGCTGAGCAGTAGACCCTTCCTGTTCTCTGGCGATCACTCGTAGCTGAGTAAGATTGTCTTCCATAAACACGGTTTTAACAATGAGTCCGTAAGTGACTGTGGAGGCCAATTCTGGATCCACATGTCCTTCCACAGTGGGGACATTGGTTTCCGGGCAGGAGCTGATCACGGTGTGGATTTGCCAAGCTTGCCTTCCTCTTAGCACGTTTCTCCTTTGCGTCCTGAGTTTGAGTGTCTTCAAAGCCCATGACACCTTTGGTAAAGGCTGTTCTCCAGTTGGAGCGCTCGCAGTCCAGTGTTTCCCAATTGTTGGTGTTTATACTACATTTTTTAAGATTTGCCTTGAGACACTCTTTAAACCTCTTTTGTTGACCACCAGCATTACGCTTTCCATTTTTAAGTTCGGAATAGAGTAGTTGCTTTGGAAGACGATCATCAGGCATCCACACAACATGACCAGTCCAGCGAAGTTGAGGTTGAAGAATCATTGCTTCAACACTGGTGATCTTTGCTTCTTCCAATACACTGATATTCATTTGCCTGTCTTCCCAAGTGATGTGTAACATTTTTCAGAGACACCGTTGATGGAATCTTTCAAGGAGCTGGAGATGGCGTTTATAAGTGGTCCATGTTTCACAAGCATATAGTAAGGTTGGTAGTACAATAGCTTTGTAAACAAGCATTTTGGTTTCTCTGCGAATGTCCCGGTCCTCAAACACTCTGCACTTCAGTAGACCCTACACAAGTCCAGGCTGGATACCCTAAGATGGTTGGATGGCTCCTTGTACGCCTCCTTCCAGCAACTCCTGCAGCCAAGCTGGTGCCAAACAAATTGCTCTGCTTTCTTTTGGACCACATCAGTAAAGCCAAGAGAGGGGTCTGGTCACCTGGGCAGCCCAGGACCTCCATACACTCTGCCCAGGCTTGTGCCACGAGGTGGTCACTTCAGTGCTGCTAACGCAGTGGTTTAACTTCACCCCCAGAGGTGCACTCCATTCTCTCTCGAGACAGATGGATGCCAACAAGAATTATTAGGCCAAACCCTGAGTGCTATTTTTTTTTTAAGTTTTCCTCTTAGTAAGGCAACTTCTCCTATACTTCAGTGGGCAACTATTCAGAAAATGTAGCCTTCTAAATCCATGTATAGGCAGGAACGCCTAGACAGAATTTTGATTTTTCAGTCTGTTACATCTCCTGGATGCTGCAGGTTCCTAATAGGAAAGCAGTAAGAGTGTTAACATACTTTCAGTTTACATCTGCAGGGAGCATTGCTGCTTTTTCCTGACAGCTGTATATAAAAGGAATTACTTTTAATGATATTGGCTTATTTATTAACCACTTCAACCACAGCTGCGGACCATATATTACCAACCTTTCTGAAGCATTGCAGAACATATCCCTGGAATCTCAAAGTTTTTTCTACTTGTGGCTGTTTAAACATTGTGTCCAATGGCTTTTCCAGGTCATTAGCAGGCATATTAGTTATGCATGCCTTTCTGAATAAATCCATCTACACTTTGAATATTTAAAACAGACTGGGACCACTTTTCAATGGAATAAAATGCCAGAATGTGACAGATACATCCAGCCATCCCGAATGAGTATACCAGTCAGACATTTCCGGTATGACAGTTAAAACAAAAATAATTCACCATGTTGACATTTAAAATAGTTGGGTTTCAGAGTTGACATTGCATTAAAATGATTTAGGAAGACATATTTATTAGGTCCTATAATTCTGTGGCCAGGGATTTTTCTTACACAAGAATCATCTGTGACACTAAGTAGAATTATTTGAATTATTCCAATAGACGAACAGTATCTTTCATCATTTTTAGAAGATGTGAATCCTCTAATGGACGGTGCTTTTGCACGGTACACAATCACTGGAAGCATTTATTGGTTCCTGCATCAACTGTTATTCCAGGCTTTTCAGTGGGCCAAATTAAATGAAGCATTAATTGTGTGGATGCAGTTGTGCTTGTTATGTAAATAGCACTTTGGGGAGACATGAGCAGCCTTAGGACCATAGGCGATGGGGAGGGGAAGTTTAAATCTTTTGGTCCCTGCCACATTCCAGACAGAAACTTGACTCTCATAGGCTACCATCTGCATTTCAACAGAAGGCAAAATTGATGCCAAAAAAGAGCTTTCCTTGATATGAAAACAGGAAACTCGGAAGGTTATAAAGTTGCTGGAATGTGGATGGAAAAGTAAGTGCAGGCACCAATGGCAGCTTTCATTGAAATGCAAGTAGGGGTGTGGGAAGACCATTTTTGCCAGAACTGAGAAAGAGAATGTAAGGGCTCATCCACACTAGAAGGCATGGGTCTGAGTGGTTTTGACTTTGCTCTGCTGTTTTCTCCTAGAAAATCCACTCTTTAGTGCTAAATTGGAGCAAACATCCATCTGGATAAAACTCTGATTTAGTGGTTTTCCCCAGGGGAAAATGGAGGAGAAAGTGTGGATGATGTTACGGAATTCTACTCAATATTGATCCAGAGCAGAACTCCGATGTATAGTTAGCAGAATAAAAACTTAAACACGTTGCAGGATTCCCAAAAAATAGACCAGAAGCAATTAATATTTCATCCGGCAGAGCTTTACTGCTACTGAAGGCCAATGAGCATAATGGCCACAAATCCAATACATTCAGGACTGGCCCTGTCCATAAGAAATTCAGTTGCAGCAGACTTAACTCAAACTTAACAATAACTTATAATAAGACTAAAACCTTGACACTATATATAGAACACCACAACAGAAGGAAAAGAGATAGAAAGAGAAAGAGAAACTCAGCCTCCTTCTGGCCTATTATTATAGTCACCATGACCTTGACGGAAGAGATAAGAGAACCAATTTAAACCAGCTGTACTCAGCTTCTCTAAAAGAATAACCCAAACATCATGAACCTTCTGCTTGTTTCTTTCACACAGAGAAGCTTCCAAAATCCTCTTGAATTAATTAGAATAGGAAAGATCTCTACACATCAAATTAATACTTTCTGCACTGAGAAATGCAAACAGACATATGAGCCCTAAGAGTCAACCCTGCATTCCTTTTCCCCCTCCCCAATTCCACACACACCCATGGTCCCACCACTACTATTTACATAAATGAAAGCATATGTGTTAATTGCATTCCTGCAACTTATGTCACATTGAGCTTGGTCCTAAAACTGTAGCTGTTCCCTAAAATGGTGCTTAAAACTGGAAGGGGCTTTTGTGCTCCAAGCCCCCAAACCCATCCCCCATGGAAATAAAGACACAGCAGAGACAGAATTTAGTTTAATTGTTAATGGGCAAATTTTGGCCACAAGTTTATTAATTACACAGATGTGACTGGTATTGACTTAGGCATTGGTGTCAAAACTATAACTGGCTCCTGCCCCACCCTGCAGGAAGCCTGGAAGGGTAAACGACTAGCAGGGGGAGCTCCAACAGAGTATATTGACTGGTGCTCACCCCTAGGATTCCTGGGGATCCTGGCATGGCCCTAGCCCCTCTCCGGGCTTCAGACGAGATCCAGACCCCTGGATTCCTTTAATGGAATACCCTATTAATTGGAGGGGCAGGTGATGACCGCACCTCCCCTCCCCACATTCCCCTAAACCAATGCCTAACCGCCAAATCTTACAAAGTTGTGACGATTGCTAAGAGGTAGGCAAAAACAAAGTGGCCACAGCCAATCTGCCACATTGGAAAAAATTCCTACCCGGCCCCCATTCCAAAACAGGCAACCAACCGAAGTTCAAAGCAAGGCCAAACATGACCCAATTAACAGGTGGGTGGGCGAGTGTTCAGCAGCGGAAAGCAAAGGGAAGTCCCTATCCATGCTGCCAGAGACATACCCCCAACCTTGCCACGCTGCCGATTGGCTAAAGGCCAGTGGCATAACTGTGGCACCACCGGCTTGGAGTGGGGCAAGCCCCACCCACAAGCCGGTTGGGGAAGAGTTCCAGGGCCAAGCACAACATGGACCCTCTGTTACGAGGATCCAACTTGCACTATGTCCCCAAAGATAATCTCTCCTCTCCAATCCCCAGCCTTGCGGAGGTTTGTAAATACAGGCACAGCCCTCTTTTTCTAAAGGGCAGAAATAGCATCCTTGTGTTCAATTCCGTACCTTCCAGCGTTTCACAGGTGAAAACGGAGACATGCTTATAGCACCCCTATTCCCACCAAAACGATTGCTTTCCTGGGCTCTGTCTTCCACTTCACGCTGCTAAAGGATCTGCTGCATGCTGCATTTGTATTTCTGCAAAAGCAGCAAATGACAACTCAGCGTGGCATTTGTTCTTTTGGCTCAAGATTTTTGTTTTGTTTAAAATGTAGCTCTCTGACAATATGATATCACCCTTAAAAATATGCCCAGTGTGAGTTAGCAGGCTGTGCGCCACACGTTGCCTCAGTATTCATCACATACATGCATTTATTTACATGTGCACTAATGACAATAAGTATACAGATCTCATTGGAGATGTTGCTTGTGGAGCCTCACGCAAAGGAACTGAATTCTGATGAATGACAACTGTAGCAACTCACATGAATAACAGTTGAACAAAGTATTTCCTCAAGGCAAAAATAGGGACAAACCAGGAGCTGTGATTTACTTAGGGAATTCCCAGACAATTTGCAGATTCAGCAAAAATCCACCTGGACGCCATTTTGCAGCCCGATTCTTGGATGTGTCTGGGAAAACCAGGACATATGGCAGCCCTAGGTTTACCTCAGACAGATAATGAGGGTTTCCCCTTCAAAACAGGTTGTGTTCTTTCACAAAGCACCATACAGTGGTACCTCGGGTTAAGCACTTAATTCGTTCTGGAGGTCTGTTCTTAACCTGAAACTGTACTTAACCTGAAGCACCACTTTAGCTAATGGGGCCTCCTGCTGCCGCTGGGCCGCCGGAGCACGATTTCTGTTCTCATCCTGAAGCAAAGTTCTTAACTTGAGGTAATATTTTTGGGTTAGCAGAGTCTGTAACCTGAAGTGTCTGTAACCTGAAGCGTATGTAACCCGAGGTACCAATGTATATGGATTACTGAGAGTTTAATGTGATGACGGAACCTAGGGTCAGTTTGGACACTATATTCCCAGATGTCAATAGGTAGCAGTTAGAATGTCAGACTGGGACCTAGGAGACCAGTGGGGGTGAAATGTACAAGCAGGTAATAGATTTGTTTGACTGAGGAGCTAATGGAATAAAGTTGGTTTTATCAGCGACATGGGAAAGGCTGATCATCTCCCAGGACTTTCTGCAAAGTTATTTCTCACAGTTCTTCCTAAACAAAAACAGTACCTGTGCCCATAGACTACTGCAGCCTTATTTACCAAAACAAAAGTAAATAGAAAGAAGTAATAAGATTACAATATTGTGAAAAGACAATGTTGTGTTTTGACTGTAGTTCCCAGAAAAAACTGACAGGGCTGGGTGTACAGTTAATTCCCAAGTTTGACTGCCTATTCCTAGAACTTTTTGCTTGGCTTTTTAGGAAAGCAAACAGCTCTGA